CACAGGCAGGTGGTGTCCACGTTTCACTGCTTCAACTTGGGCTGCTCTGCTCTTTTGAGATCGCTGAATAGTGATAGTGATTATGATAATAATAGCTACCATTCGTTGATACTTGCTTTGTTCCTGGCGTTGTCCTAAGTGCTTTTCCTGAACTGCCTCATGTAATCCCCACGGCAACCCTTTGAGGGAGGTATCACAAACTCCCCTATTGTACTAATGAAGAAGCTGAGCAGAGAGAGGTTAAATCTCTTGCCCAATTCCACTTAGCCACTTTCCTCTGCTGTGTTAATTTGCGCTGTGATTTTATTTTTTAAATATATACTTACTTATTTGGCTGCCTTGGGTCTTACTTGTGGCATGTGCGATCTTCCGTTGTGGTGTATGGACTCTAGCTGGAGCACACAGGCTCAGTTGCTCCAACTGGAGTCTTAATTCCACGACCAGGGATCAAACCTGCATCTCCTGCTTTGCAAAGTGAGTTCTTAACCACTGGGCCACCAGGGAAGTAACTATGCTGTGATTTTAAAAGAGATTCTCTTCTTCAGTCAGCAGATGGACATCTGGTTTGCAGGAAGACACACATTGGCCAAGCCTTGGAATTGGAAAGTATGAACGTGAAGCGTTCTACTCTCAGATTGTTGCAAAAAAGTTTTCTGGTTTGGGATTCGTGAGAATTTCTTGACTCTCAACCAGACCCAGCTTCTAACAGTGGCAGACATGGGGTGGAATGGGGGGAGAATTTGGGGAACACCACGTGGCTATGAGAAGCTTAGGATATTTTCCCATATGTTAGAAATGCAATCAAGCCAATGCTTTAAGAAGTGGTGAGCTACAGATGGGGGTTGGGGCAGATGTCCGTTTGCATCATTGAGAACCCTACAGTCCTCTCAGGAGTCAGAGATCATTAGTGGGTTGAAGGAGGAAGCCAAATGTCTCAGCCAGCCCAACCATAGGCAGACCACCCTGGTGCTGAGAAAGCCAGGATCACTGAAGCATCTCCTTTGCAGGCTTCAATCCTTGGGAGACTTTGGCTTTATTTCCTTTGATGCTCATGGTATTTAAGCCCATGTCTGGATTGTTGTTGTTCAGTTGCTAAGTTGTGTCCAACTCTTTGCAAGCCCATGGACTGCAGCATGCCAGGCCTCCCTGTCCCTCATGCATGGATAGAAGACTTTATGTATCTTTGACACCACTGACTTCTGGACTTCAATTAAAAAATTTCCAGGCAAAATGTTCACCTTTGCTTTGGGTTATCTCTCCACTGACAGAATTGTCACCTCCAGTACTGGAACTTGGAGAGAACAGATTCTAAGCGGGCCCTTGACACCAGCAGCTTCATTCCAATTCCCTCACATTTGGAGATATGGAAACATAGGAAAGAAAGCACAGTTTTTGGACTTCCCTGGTGAGCCAGCAGTTAAGAATCCGCCTGCCAATGCAGGGGACACGGGTTTGATCCCTGGTCCAGGAAGATTCCACACACTGCGGGGCAACTAAGGACCATAAACCACAGTTACTGAGCTGGTGGTCTGGAGCCAGGGAACCACGACTACTGAGGCCCACCTGCCCTAGAATCTGTGCTCTCCAGCAAGAGAGGCCACCTCGATGAGGAGCCCGAGCACTGCAACTAGAGAGCAACTGCTTGCCGCAACTAGAGAAAGCCTGCATGCAACAGTGCAGACCCGGAGCAGCCAAAAAAAGAAAAAAAGGAAAAAAAAGAAAGCTCTGTCTTTACTTTTAAGGACCTCAGTCAGGTGGATGGAACACTGCTTAACCAATGATTCTATTACAGCTGGAGAGGAGTCTAGAGATATGTATCCAAGCTGTTCTGGCACCATTTGGAGGGAATGGGAGTGTAGGATGATGGTTGGAGGCTTCCCAGAAAAGCAAAACTTAAGTTGAGCTTTGAAAAAAAAAAAAGTAACCAGTCAAGACAGTGGAAATTGTAGGTGGAGGGAAGAGTGGGGCAGGGGTTTAGTTACTCAGCAATCAGCTAGCTCAACTGTTTCTCAAAAGACATACCAGGCATTGCCCTTCATGCTGGGTTACAATAATGTTCTCTAAGTGGGCCTGAGTTGAAATACTTGGTGTGACTCGGCTTACTCTTGCCACCTTTGTTATTGTTTAGTTGCTAAGTCATGTCCCACTCTTTGGGGAGCCTGTGGACTGTAGTCCCGCTAGGCTCTGCTGTTCGTGGGATTTCCCAGGCTGCAGTGGGCTGCTATTCCCTTCTCCAGGGGATCTTCCCAGACCAGGGCTCAAACCCACATCTCCTGCATGGGCAGGTGGATTCTTTACTGCTGAGCCAGCTGGGAAGCCACCTTACTCTATACAAATTTCCAGGCTGGTGGGAATGGAACTGTTAGACAACTGCTTAGTAGATTAAAAAAAAAAAGTCACTCCATTCTTTGTTTTCCTAGAAAGTTCCCCAGGAAGAGACTGCCAGGCCCGGAAGACACACGCGGATGCAAAATATGTGCTGATCTCCATCCTCAATGCACCAGAGGTTTCTGTTAATAACGCTCATCCCAGATCACAATTGAGTGCAATTTAGCCCCAACCCTCATGCAAAGGAGCTGATCACTGACCTCATTACAATTTAGGTTTGGGGGAAGGGGCTTCAAAACAGACTGAGACTAGGGATAATTGCCCTGGGAGAGCAGTGAGCCACAGCCCTGACCTGAAGGATGAAAGCTGGGTTGTTGTAGAAAGATGTTCAGATGACTAGGAGGATAAAGAAGGTTCATCTTTGCAGAGCTGGTTTAAACGCCAGTCCCTTCACCCTGATGGAGGTCGGTTTCATGCTTATCTCCAGTTTGCAACGTGGAAATCGAGGCCCCGGGGAGAGAGTGAGAGGGTCAGGACCTGAACCTAGGCTTCTGATTCTAGGCCTGGTGCTTCCTCCCCTTTTATCAACCTTGTTGAAATCCTCATAGACAATGTGTTTTCTCTTAACACTTGCTGGGCCGGCATCTCTCCAGAACCTTCAATGGCTTAAGGGTAAAATGCCTCTTGGGCCAATAGTGTCTTACAATTTGTTACTTTTTGCTACAATTTGCTACAATTTGATGCTTCTGTTCCATGTCCAGTTTGGTTCTGCCATTTTTAGGCTCACCTAGGTTCTCAGAGCTTGTTCTCTGAATGTTGAGGAATTTCCTCATGATAACTTTGGGGGCAGGACAGGAGGTAGTTCTTGGTTTGTATTGAGAGGAAAATCTGTATCGGGGGACTTCACTTTGTGTTTCCCTAGTGTGAGATCTCAAGCACAGCAAGAAATCAAGAATTAGGTCTTCAGAGCAGATAGGGAAATGGGCAGAAAAAGGAGCGGGAGCTGGTAAAAAAGTCACAGTGTGCTTGGAAAGCTAAGTGCCTAAGAGGCAGGAAATGATGAGCACAGAGATGAGAGACAGAGAGAAATAAAGGGAGAGAGGGAGAGGGAGAGAAAGAAAAGGAGAGAAAGAGAGAGAGAAAGAGAGAAAGAGAGTCGGGGAAAGAAAAAGTGAGGGGGGAGAGAAGGAGAGAGAAAGGGAGAGGGGGCGAGAAAGACAGAGAGACGAGCGTGTCTTCATCCATACTGGCCCTCCCAGGGCCCAGCCAGACCGAGCTTAGTACTTACCAAGCTGAGTGGCTCTGGCTTAGTGACCGTGGGAACTGGGCGGAAAGGGCTGGCATACTGACTGGTGATTCTGGGAGTCCCTTATGGAGAAGTGAGTCTGCAGGCAAGAAAGCTCAGTCACAGACACAGATGGTCTTCCTAAAGCACAAGTGCATTGTAGAAACTAGAGGAATGAACAGGCAGATTCCTCTAGGACCATTGCCCCCAGCATCATCTTAACCACCTCTCCTCTGCCCCTGCACTTACTAGCACGTTACCACCATCATCACTACCACCAACAGATCCATTTTCATCATCGTCTCTAACACAGCCACCATCACTGCCGTCAGCACCATCACTAGCACTCCCATCTCCACTCCCGGCCCCACGGCCATCTCATCAACCGCCACCACTACCGTCCCCTTCACGGAGGCCCTTGTTACATGCCAAACCCCATGCTAAAGGCTTCACATGGGTGTAACCCTCACAACACTCCACCACAGTAGGAATGACTGGCCCTGTTTTCAGGGGAGGGAATTGAGGCTCACAGCAGTAGTCATTTGCACAAGATCACACCCTAGAAAGCTGCAGACACAGCATTTCACCCCAGGCGAGTGTGTGCTTCTGAGAGGGAAGGCGCGACGGTTCAGAAAGCTGCCATGCTGCACACGGCGGCGTGTGCTGGGGGCTGGTTTTATGTCCGACTGCGTCTGAGAGGCTCCTGTGGACTGTGACAGGCCCACCAATCTGTTCTTCCTTCCCTTTCCTGCTTTCCTTTCACACATTCTGGATCCTACGGTTTTTCAGGTCAGAGCAAATTATAATGCTTTATATCCCCCCTTTTCTGAGCTGTTTGCACACAGTTCTGGAAACAGATGGAGTCTGATAGAAATCCCAGATGATAACTCAGATGTGAAAATACTGTGCAAACATCCATGTACCATAAATACCTCTGAGCATACACGACAGAGAGAGAGAGAGAAAGAGACACAGAGACTCAGGGAGAGTGATATATAGAGACAGAGAAATAAGAGAGGGACAGAGACACAGAGCAAGGCAGACTGAGGGAAAGAAGGAGAAACAGAGACACAGAGAGAAAGAGAGTGTGCGCAAGAGAGCGTCTGTTGACACCATTCACTGTTCATGCCGTTTGGGACCAACCCTGGGCCTGCGGGTCCCCTGAGCCGGTGACTTCTCAATAGCTTCTGTTACAGTTGAAGGAATATGATGAAAAAAAGTAAAGCTCTTAGCTGAGTGTCAGGCTGAGTAAGTGCCTGAGAAGGGTAGCGACTCTTTTCATGGAGGAGAGCGTCTCTTGGCCAGTCGTGACTCTGCCCCGTCCCTGCAGTTCCCTAGTCAGGTTTCTGGTCGGGAATGAGGGCAGAACACCGCCTTCTTCCCGTAGAAGCCGGGTGTGGCCTGCCTGCTCTCGCGAGATCTTCCTGGTGCGGGACCGGATGCGTATCCTTTCCATAGCGTCCCTGGCTGGAGGCCAGAGTCAGGTGTGAACACAAGTCAAAATTCATTGCCAGGTGCACAACATGAATTCGAGGACATGCCAGCGTCTCTGGAAAGCGCCCTGGAAGCTGTCATTTCAAAAGTCAAGATGGGACTTCCCTGGAGATCCAGTGGCTAAGACTCGGCACTCCCAATGCAGGGGGCTGGGTTCAATCCCTGGTCAGGGAACTAGTCCCGCATGCTGCAACCAAAAGTTCCCGCAACTAAGACCCTGCACAGCCAAATAAATTGAAAAAACAAGTCAAGGCCCCCTGCGTTTAAAGGAAGGCTTACAGCATGGGACTGAAATCACCAATGGTTCCCGTGAAATGGGAGCTTGATTAAGGTTGTGACCCATAATCAATTAACCTGGAAAAAGGCTTTATGGGGGCATATTTGGCCCAAAGGGGAGGGGCGGGGCTGCTTATACTCTGGCAGCAGGGAGCTCAGATTCTGTTGAGGACATTGCCTCTGGGGACTTTGCAGCGGAGGAAGAATTGTGGGCAGAGATGTTTTATCCGTGGTCCTCACTCTGCGTTTTCTTTCAGGACATTGCCTTCCTGATTTGCTCCCTCCTTCAATCTGCCTAAGCTCCCTGGAGTACCCTGGGGCTGCCACAGTTTCCAGGGGACAACCTGAGTCTGCTTTCATCTCCACCTCCATCTTTGTAACCGCAGCAGAATCACTAATTTCTTGGAGCCTCATCTGTGAAGTGGGAATAACGGTAGCCTCCCCGTGTACCTTGCGGGGTGTTGGAAGGACAGGAAAAAACAGCAGCACAAAAGTCCTTCTGAAAAAGTAAAGCCCTCTTCCAAAGCCAGGGGTTAACTGCTAATTCTGTTGCTTTTTTGGGGGGTTATTTTCCAGAGGTGGAGACCAAGACCAGCAGCTGGTGGATAGCATGTAAGTGGCTCTTCCATCTGACCTTGACTTCAGTGACCTTGGCCAAGGTCTCTGGAGCCTGGAAAGCTTTATCAGCAGAATTGGAAACTAGTAACATCACTTCCTCCTGCTTGGGACCATTTAACATCAGGGTCCAAAGTCAGGATGCAAAGCTGGGTGACAACGGGATGTCACTGACTAGTGAACAAGATGTGAGAAAGGATTCAGCCCCCCACAAGGCTGCTCTCAGCGTGGGAACATCATAAGCTTTTAAACATTAATTTTACTTCATTTGTTCTTTGTAGATCTTCTGTAATACCCTCCTAAATTTCCCACACAGCATTACTTTTAAAATTGGGAAGAGTTAATGAAAATTTGGATTTGTGTCTGTAGCTTATTTCCCCATCTCCTTCAGCTGCCCACTCCATCCTTCTCAGGTAACCTTCCCCGGCCCCTCTTGGGCCATCCTGGCTAGTCCTGCCTTGGGCTAACTTGGGGGAGGCCTGCAGGGCTGGACAGACAGCGTCTGAGGATCCGGTGAGTCCTGCCGCCTGGGACATTGGTTGCCCTGCTGGAGGGGCTGGTCTGGGCAGTGTCTGTTGGTTTGGAATGGGGACAGAGTGCAGAGTCTGATGATGGAGGCGACCCTCTGCTCAGTTCCAACCCTGTACCAGAGTCTTTCTGAGCCACATCTCACCCCATCTTCCCATCAGCCCCAAGAGGAGTACGTTGCCATCAGCTCTCTTGATTTTGCAGATGGGGGTGCTGAGGCTCAGAGAGGTTAAGCAACTTCCCTAAGTCACATAGCCAGTAAGGAATTATGCTATAATTTGAACCTGAAGGGCTTGAACTCAAGCAGTGGGGCTTTTCCCACCAGTAGGAGCCTCTCAGAAGTATTAGGGGCAGATGTATCATGAAATGCACTGGGTAGGGTGTAGAGGGGGAGGAGGATTGGTGGGGGGAAAGGAGGGAATGTTTGAGGTGGGGAGTACTGATGTAACCATGACATGTGACACCATGATCACGTGTCATCAACAAGATGTGGCCCCTCCTGGCTATCCAGAGAATGTTAGTCTAGTTTTCCTGGCAGACAGGAGCAGGTGGGGGTGTTGTGGATCCTGTTGACTCTGAACCTTTCAAATCCCAAAGTAGAAAATACTTAGTTTGGGCAGAATCGTGATTTCTATTTACAAATTATTATAGCTCTGTTTCTGGTTAAAAAAACAGGACCTTATTATTCAACATAAAATGTGACAATGTGATGCTGTTAAGAAACAGAAATTTGGGTCACCAGAGGTTCATGTAGACTGAGGTGGGGCCTCCTTTCTGGGGCAGCTTCCCCAGGATGGAGCTTCACTCGGAGAGTGGCAGGTCACGTGGGAACACAAGGGACCGGGTACCTGATGCTTTTTTGCCCTGGGGGAGGTCCAGGCCTTGTGAGGTGAGGCGGAAAGGCGGTTGGCATGATGGAGTGCCCCCCAGGCACTGGGACTTCCAGCAGACTCTGCCGCTGCATCCTGACCGGAGCCTCGCCAGGGCGGCCCTGCATCCCTGCCATCCGCACGCAGCCTCCCTGCCTCCCAGAGGAGGGGAGTTAGGGGCAGCTAAGAAAGGATGTGTGGCGAACTTAGAGAACAAACTTATGGTTACTGGGGAGGATGGTGGGGAAGGAGGGAGGGAGGGGATAGTTAGGGAGTTTGAGATGTACACACGGCTGTATTTCAAATGGATAAGCAACAAGGATCTAATGTGCAGCACAGGGAATTCTGCTCAATGTCCTGTGGCAGCCTGGATGGGAGGGGAGTCGGGGAGAATGGGTACCTGTATATGTATGGCTGAGGCCCTTTGCTGTCTATCTGAAACTATCACAACATTGTTATTGGGCTATGCGAGCGTGTGTGCTAAGTCACTTCAGTCCTGTCTGACTGTTTGCAACCCTGTGGACTATAGCCCACCAGGCTCCTCTGTCCATGGAGTTCTCCAGGCAAGAAGACTGGAGTGGGTTGCCATGCCCTCCTCCAGGGGATCTTCCCCACCCAGGGATCGAACCCGTGTCTCTTACGTCTCCTGATTGGCAGGTGGGTTCTTTACCACTAGTGCCACCTGGAAAGTCCCATTGGGCTATATCTCAACACAAAATAAAAAGTTTAAAAAAACAAAAAGAAAGAAATGATGTGTAGGATTCGAACCCGTGGCTGTTGAGTTCTAACTCACTTGCTGAGTTCCATCTCTGCACTACCTTGTTTGCCCGGGCAGGGCAGGAGCCCCCAGACAGGGGAGGTGGTCTTTCTGAACCCATAGCACTGAAAGGGAAGGAGAGAGCAGCCCCCCAATCACAAAGTTTCCTTTGACCGCATGCCAGGACAGGACACGGCTGTGCACCCGCCAGGACAGGGCACCGCAGGCGTCTGCCTTTGATTGCAAAGGGCTGCGGCCCAGCAAGGACAGGGCTCATACCTGTGGCCTGGGGCTGCTCTTGCATCCCCAGAAATGCCATTTGCAGATGGGGAAGATGTGAGAAGACAGGAAGGAGAAAAATCAACAGACGCAGGGCAGGCATCCTGGGAGGTCGGGTCACAGCCCGGGAGAGAAAAGAGGCCTCAGCCACGGGTCAGGGCGTAAACACAGAGGCCCCGGGCCTGGCGCGCTGGAGGGAACCACGCGGGGCTGGCTCGGGGAGGAGAGGTTTGCCGTGTGTGTGGTGGCTTCAGAGGGAGCCCCGGCTTCTGAACTGCGAGGAAAGAAGAGTACCTTTCAGAGCTGCCAGGGCCATGGACTGTCTGCTCCCAGAAGCTCCCGTCAGGCGGCTTCCGGCTCAGGCCAGCTTCCCCCACCCCACAGCCGCACCTCAGTGTGAAGCAGGAGGGACCTGTGACCCTGTCAGGAAGGAACTGACATTTTGGCCGGGAGAGCCCCAAGGAGGAGGCTCACAGGTCCTGGTATACACAGGGCCGTGATGGCCTCAGGCCGTGTCTTTCTTTTCTGCCTTTTATAGTTAAAAACTCTAGGCTCTATTGTACAGCACAGGGAACTCTGCACAACTGTTCTGCGCCAGCCTGGGTGGGAGGGGAGTTTGGGGGAGAATGGATACCTGTATACGTATGGCTGAGTCCCTTCCTTGTTCACCAGAAACCAGCGCGACATTGTTAGTCAGTTATACCCCAAGACAAAGTAAAAAATTTTTAAAAAGTATAGTTCACCACAGAGGACAGAGCTAAGCTCCCTGTGTTATAGGGCAGGTTCCCACTAGCTAGCTATTTTACACTTGGTAGTGTATGCATGTATGTCAACCCCAACCTCCCAATTCATCCTACCCACCTACCATCCTGTGTCTACATACCCATTCTCTATGTCTCTTTTCCCACCCTGCAAGTAGGTTCATTGGTACCATTTTTCTAGCTTTCACACATATGCATTAATATTTGATACTTGTTATTCTCTTTCTGACTTAGAATGGGGGGGTGGGGTGGGGTGGGAGGGTGAGAGGGACTTCCACGAAACAGGGTATATATGTATACAGATAGCCGATTCACTTCTTCATACAGCAGAAACTAATGAAGTGAGGCAACATCGTAAAGCAACTACGAAAGTGAGAAAGGGAAGGTGTTAGTTGCTAAATCATGTCCAATTCTTTGAGACTCCGAGAACTGTAGCCCCCCAGGCTCCGTCCATGACATTCTCCAGGCAAGAATACTGGAGTGGGTTTGCCATTCCCTTCTCCAGGGGATCTTCCTGACCCAGGGATCAAACCCAGGTCTTCTGCATTGCAGGCAGATTCTTTACCATCTGAGCCACCAGGGAAGCCCCTGATTATTTGCATATATCTTGTCATCTGAGCAGAAATCCTCAAATAAGTCTTGAATGCTCCTATATGATCTAACTGCCTAGTGATAAAGCCACCCATTAATCACTGTAAGATCTAAGAAAAGCAGAGAAAAAATCAGGCCTCCCAATTAGTGCTGGGATGTGCAGGGGCGGGTCTCACTAGAGCCTCTGCTGCAGGAGAAAAACCCTCTTTTGGGGTTCATCAGCTGTTTTATATGAGGGTCAGGGGTCAGGCTCATTGGAACCTCTGTTTTTCACTTGTCACTCGGTTGGTCTAATACCAATTCCCTCCTTCCTTCCCTCC